TAAATTCTGATATGATTGCGTTTTGTTTGTGTTTCATGCCACGTGCCCGGCATCGCGAAGATGATCCACACAATTTGCATGTATACCACTCTGCGTGTTCCAATATCGTCGGTGATACACAAAGGGCTTGTGGGAATCCGCTTGTACTCTTGTTTAGGGTTAAGCTTGGTCTGATTCTACCCTACGAGATGCGCGCGTCCACGCGCTCTCTATTGATTCCATGACCCGAAGCGGCGAGCCAATTTGTCGAAGGGAAGCACGTTTTCCTTAGATAAAACATCTCGCCGAGAAAAGATGGGGCTCTCGGCATTCTTCGTACTTTCATCTCATTTTCGCGAGCACAGTCGAGGAGATCAGTCTCAAGATTCTCAAACGATATCACATATAAATTATTCAATAAAGAGATGCGTGGGATCGTCTCTTAACGACTCCTCCAGTTACTTTGAATTCTATTATACAAATGAATCGCATGGCGCTTTCCACCACTTAACCGTCTCAACCACATAATCGATATCCCACTCTCTCTCGTGTATAATCTAAGGACTCGTAATATCTAAAGACGGAATCTGTCTTTTTAAATCGAGACTACATACTTGCCCTCGAGAGATCTTAATGTACCGCTTCATTATGCAAATTTATTTAATGACTTTCTTTACGCCTCGCGCACGCTTTCACGCGGACTTTGCATAGATCGCGATCGTCGTGAAAACGCAATATTCTGCGCGTATCCTTGAAACGATATTTATTCGGGGCGCTATTAATAAGCGTATTCGTATGTAGGCCCCACTGGAAATACACGTCGATCCCCGCCGGTGTATTTCCATTTCTAATTCTGATCATCCCCCTCTCGCTCTCTTTTTCTCTTTCTCTCTCCTTGTTATTATTATTATTATTGTTTGTAATATCCTTTTTACTAACCGTTCAGTAGTTATGCCTTATGTTCTTAGAGTTAAAGCTTGCCCTAGAATATTCATAAACGCTTTATTTATCTCTCTCTAATTACATCTAATTATTTCAGTTTAATTATATTACATTACCTACCTATATTATATTTTATTTTATTAACCCTATAATAATCGAAAATATATATGTATAAATACATCACAACTTTTGTATCGAATTCTCAGTGCTTGAAAAGATCTCATCGTAAGGCGCATAAATAAATCAAGCTATCTTAGTAGTAGAGGACATAATAAGCGCGAGTTTCCGCGCTTGGAAACCTAGACCCGAAAGTGCATATAGTGAAGTGCACCTTAATAAGAGCGACACCGGTGCGAGGCGGAATTCAGTCCAGCAAAATGAAAATTTAGATGCGCGCCGCTATCTTTAGCAGTCTCGACACAGTGACGGCAAAAGTGTTGCCACAGGCGAATATAGGTTACTGTCGTCGGAATAGATCGCGGTCAGGGCAGGCGCGTCCGCCGCCGACACCGCACCGATGAGAACGGGCCTTGGTACCCTTATCGGGCACCTAGTTTCGTGCGAGTGCCGACCACTGTAGTGGAAGCGGTCGTATCGACAAGGCGAATATTATTCTCATTATGATCAACAAAGCAAATATTGTTAATTTATTGCGACGGCCGCTTACATAAAGAGCGCCTGAAAGGAAGAAGGGGGACAAGCCGCAACCACCGCGAATTTCATCCTCGACGGAAGCGCGTGGGAGATCGCCAGAGAGAGAGAGAGAGAGAGAAAGCGCACGGACGCGAAGAAGAGCGAGAAAGAGAAGGATGAGGGGAGGAAGAGAGAGAGAGAGAGAGAGCGCAACAAAAAGGGAGGAACAAAGACAGGGAAATAGAGAGAGAGAGAACGCGCGTGGATGCGAAGGAGAGCGAGAGAGAAACAGCGAAAAGGGGGAGGGAGGAAAGAGAGAGAGAGCGCGCGCAACAAAAAAGGAAGAAACAAAGACAGGGAAATAGAGAGAGAGAGAGAGAATTCCCCTCTCGCTACGGCGCACGCGTATATGCCGCACGTTGCTTTTCCCTGTGAAAGTTCTGTCGAAAACTCGGTGCGGATCCGAACGCGGAGGTAAACCCGGAGCGAAGTCGATTTCGTGGAGAGATGCTCAGAAGGAGGCATCTGGCCGCTTCGCCTCACCTGCGCACGGTGCACGGCAGCTGCCGCTCGGCTCCGATTATCTTCGTGCTTACGTGGACTGCCGGCACGTGTGCCAGAACAAAAAATATATTTACGGAACGAACGAAACGGCACGCTTCGCAAGCGTGGCACGGCCAAAAACTTGCGCTCGCGCGACGCCGATTAAATAATAAATTGTCTCGACCCCTCTCTCAAAAGACGTTCATTGGACTTGAAAGGAAATTTATTGGAAAGATATATTTTCGAAATGTATACGTTTATCCTCTAATACTTGAAGCAGAACAAAAAGTTTAAGATTACATCCAAATAACGTCGAAATGATTATTAAAAGTCACTTTTCGATCAATCACGATTCATTTTAATATTATTTTGATGTTATCGATGATAACTGTTGCTCAGCTTGGAATTTTTCATATTACATTTTTCACAAAAATTAAAACAAAATTGAATAAAGGTTTTGTTACTCGGCTTTTGCATTCACACCGTAAAGATATTGGGTTATGAAATTAGAGACTCTAATGCAGTTTCGCTTTCATAAAAGCACGATTATTGCAACAACAAAATGACTACGACCGTGTTCCAAAATTCATTGCCAATGTTGAAAATATATATAGCACGCGTAATATAAATTGTAGATTCTCAGCGTTGGCAATGAATCTTGGAGCATAGCCTCGTCTTGAATTTAATGTCAATCTCTAGGGAAATATTTATATACATATATATATTTCTTCGTGATGACCTTCCCCTCATCGCAATACATACGAGATAGATACTTGTCAGACAATACAACCGTCTAAAATTGAAATATAAGCTGTGTCGATCGCTTTACATTATCGCGATTTCACGTTATCTGAACACTTATTACTTATTGAAGAAAGCGGAAGTCTAGGGATAACGTGAACGGAACCTGTTTCTAAAAAGAGATCGGTCCGCTCGAGAGGGCAAACCGATTTCTCCGGCGAACGGCGTCGACGTTACATCGCAAGCGTCGTGTTGCCACGAGGGGAAATCTCGCGTTTTATCGAGTACCCGAAAAGCAACCTGTAACATGGACGCGAAGGCGATGAGCAGCGATGCGCCGCTCGTCGGAGCACCTTTCCCGTACACCGGAAGCGCTGCCATGCCGCGAAACTTCTAGAACTTTCCCAAGAAATACGGGCGTATACGCGATGATCATCGGAGACATGGCGACCCTCGTCGACCGGAGCGAACCACGAGTCACGACCTAATCGATATCGGCGAGTCATTCTCAATGTGACATGAAGTCGGATGTTTTCAGACGAGGCGAAACACGATCCGCTTTGCGTAAAATAAATACCGGCCGACGCGCGGCCGGAAGCGCGCGCGTATTTTTCGACGTAAGGTGGGATCTAATTGGCTAACGAGCCGCAAGGTGGGAAGAGAAGGCCGTTCGGAGTGGGGGAAGAGGGGCGCAAGAAGGAGAGTGGGGGACATCGTCGAGACATCGAGATGATGTCGCTGCCATCGCCCGAGCATCGTGCCGCGAATAATCGAATGGCCGCGTTTGCGATGTGTTCGTATTCCCCTTATTTTCTCGCTCGCTTTCGATCGCTTTCGTTGGCGTGGGTAGCAATTGAACGCGTTTCCGTCGATGCTTTCGCGAACGCGATCTCTTTCCGCGATGTCTAATGTATTTGGAAACCTAACTGGCTCTACTGACCTCCGTCGATTGCAATGGCACTTGAGAACCGGAGATATCGACGGTCTCGGGATAATTCTGATATATTCCAAAAATGCCTGCGTTAACGGGGTTGGCATGCCTGATGCGAATAACGATAGTTTTAACAGATAATATCGTATATGAGAGAGAGAGAGAGAGAGAGAGAGAGAGAGAGAGAATCGCGTAATGTGTGGCGGTAAAGACCGAGGCACTCTGAATAAGACATGAGCAACAGAGAATAAATATAACGGTTTATCCACAATAAACGTATCGATGTGTAGGAATGAGAAGTGGGATCGATATACCTTCATTTACAAGTTGATTTAATTTACGATATCGTGAATGCGGAACAGTACATCTTATTACATCGTTGACATTTTTTATCTTTATAGATAGAAAAGAAATTAATTTTCTGCTCATTAAAAAACAATTTAAAATTGTACTTGGCGAATTACAGAACAAATGGACATTACATTATTAATTCGTTATTTAAATCTAATTATACTATTAAGTATTCAATATTCAACCAAATTAAAATTGTATTTGCTTTTTTTAATTAATAATTATATTTAAACTATACAGCAAATGGATATATATTACATATTTTATTCCTTTTGTTCATCACGTAAATTCTACTCTATTAGATATATAATATTTGATAAAAATGTATTGATACGACATTGTATGTCAAGCATTAAATCTTACTTTGCCATATTTTTTGTAAGAATTATATTTAAACTACCGTTTTTTTTTTCGTCACATAAATTCAATTCTGCTAGGTATAAAATATTTAATAAAAATATACTAATGCAGCATAGCATGTTATAAGAATTAAATATTATTTCGTTACATTTATTTAATAATTAATAAGAATTACATTTGAACTACAAAGCAAATGAACGTATTACGTCATTTATTCATTCTTAATTCTGTCATGTAAATACGCGATTCGGTCGGATGTAAAATATTTAACAAAAATACAGCGGTGCGACGACATCGCGTGTCATGAGCATTAAATATTACCTTCCCAGTTGTTTCTAATATTTCGTTTCCCATTATTCATTCGATGATAGCTCGTTTTCCCCTTGTTACTCCTTGTAGAAACTCGTGCACGGCGCGCGCGCGTGTGTCGTCGACGGCGAGCGGGGCGCCATCTGTAAACGAGCGGGAAAGAAAAGCGTTTGAAGGCCGCCGGCCCGCCGCGCCGGCCGGGCCGGAGTCGCTCGAGTCTCGAGCGAATCAGTGCGCGTTTCCCTCTGCCATTTGCGCGTCGGTACGCGGCAGCGGTGTTACCGGAATCTCCGACGTGTGCTTACCGGTGCGTAGAAGACGCGTAACCGCCGTGTCGGTTGAGGTGTGCTTTCACGAGTTCGTGTGCGGGAACGTGCGTGGATTACGATCAAAATCGATCGATATGGCGGACACGGAGGTCAAGTAAGTAATATATATGCGTCCGCCGGTGCGTAAATACGCGGCAAGCGGCGGATATCGATTCGACGGAAGAAAAATCGCGCGTACGGCGTCGGTTCCCTCCTTTCGTTGCGCGCCAAGCCGTTAACGTTCTCGCCGATCTTTCCTCGCGTCCTCTCGTCGATCATTCTCGTCGCCGACGTCGATGTCGTCGTCGTCGTTTCCTCATCGCCCTTGTTCGATCGCTTTCGAATTATCGCAAAGACGACGACGAGAAAGGTTGTCGAACACGAGGAGAGAGGAAGGGGGGACGTGCGGTGCGCGCCGGGAAGGGGGAGGGGGAAAAGAACGAATAAGCGAGCGATGCCCCTCTTTCTCTCTCTCTCTCTCTCTCTCCATCTATCTCGCGCTCGCGACAATACTCTCAGGCCGATTCGCGGTACGCCTAACGATCGCTGGATATTACCTGCCCTTGCCGCGCGCGCGACGCGACCCGAGCCGACCCGACCCGACGCGTGCTCTACTTGCAGGCGAGTTTTATGGCGGGCATCGTCTCGTCCCGCGCCGGATCCTCTCTCTGTTTCTCCTTTCTACTCGTGCCCCTCCGTTCGACCGTCCGCCCGCGCACGATCGAAGACGAGCGCATCGCCGCCGCCGATCGGCGGCGATGGCGATGGCGGTGGCGGTGGCGGTGGCGGCCTCGTGTTCCTTTTGTCCCTCGCGCTCCTCTCCTCTCCGACCACTTCGCTCGTTTGTTTACGTCGCTATGTAGATGTGCGTGCATGCGCGCGCGTGCGTGTATACGACGTATACACACACACACGCAACGCACGCGTCGTTTTTCGCGGGAACCACCCTCGCCACGCTCGAGAAAGATAGAACGAATACATTGCGAGGACGATTCTTTCCGTCCCGCGATTCGCTTCTCACGTGACTTTCTCCCTCGCTCTCCTCGAGAGAAATCGTTCGGCCCTTCGTCTCGCGCATCGGCCCGAAAGCGGTCGACGACGTGTATCGATCTGTCGGCTCGCGTCGATTAGACGTAACCGACGATGATGATGACGGTAGCGGCGATTTCACCATTGGGAATCCTCCGCGAAGCGAAACCGGTATAATCTCCAGCGAGACTTAAGCCTGATAGACTAGCGCGAAGGAGAGACGTCCGTCTATATTTATCCATCGATCGGTTTTTCAATTATACCGGTTCCGATCTCCCGTCGCTCTCAAGACGAGTATAACGGCATAATCCTTCGCGTTCCCCTTGCACGCGTGAGATACGATGTCGAAAGCGTGTAAGAGGACGCGCGTTACGTATAACACGCCGCGTTTACGACCGCGAGCGTCCAACGATTCGCCACGCTGAAGCCTCGTCGGTGTGGTTGATCGTGGCGGGCATCGCGATGGTGGTAGTAATTGCGATGTTGGCGGTCGCGGCGGTCGGTGACGTGAGGGGATGACCCGGGGCGACTGGGGGCGGAGGGGAGCGGTGTTGCGGGGACGATATAATATCAAGCTCGCTAGATGCCGCCACTGTTGGCGGCGTCCTATCTCTATTTCTCTCGGTTCGTCGCGTCGTCCTTGTTGCTAGTCAGCAATGTGAAACGGCAGCAAATACCGATGCCGGAGCGCGCCACAGCAACGGTTTACCGGGAAATTATAATCGCGCGAATTCGTGGTTTTTATCGCAGTTCCGTTATAGCTCTTGGTATTAATATTACTAAAACAATATCACTTTCATTAAGATTGATCTTACTGCGCACTTTTAAATTAACTTGCTTATCAATAACTTATTTGTTATCAATTGTTGCTTGTGCAATCATTTATTATTTATGTATTGTATCGATATAGATGATAAATTATAATCATTGCAATCGCATAATTTAAATAAAAAATGAGATGTTTTTAATAATCATTTAATTAGTCTATAAAGTTATCCTGATTGTGGATTGAATATTTCCATAATCAATATTCGATTTACAAAACAAAAAATTTAGTTACCCGCATAATCTATTGTATATAGATAGATAGATTTCGTTATTATACTATGATTCCAAAAATAGCATTCTTTTAAATGTTAAAACTAAAATATACTTGATAAAACAAGATTTGATATAAGAAATAGAAACGAAATAGGTATGAAAAATAGAGAAAAAATAATAAAATTTAATATTAAATAAAGCAGAGAGACCACAAATTTTTAATACATTAGATTAGTATAATGTGATAGAATACTATATCTACATAATATGGTTTTCAGGGAAACAAAAGTCACTACTCCTCAGAAGAAGGTAGTGGAAGAGGAAAAGGTGGTACAGGAGGAAATTGATGAGGATTCGAAAGCATCTGAAAATGGGGATACAAAGGAAACCAAAGAGAATGGCTCGAGCGAGGAGAAGGAGACTGATGAGAAAGAAGCAGAATCTACAGAAAACGGAGACTCGACAGGTATATATTATTATTGAAAGATTTTTGTCATTCTGCGTTTAAAAAAAAAAAGATTTACAGTATATATAATATATAATTTTTCTGCTTGCGATTTTAGATGCTCCAGCCGACAGTTGCTGCGTAAAGAGGAAATCAACGGCCGGAGCCGATGCAGCAGAGGATGCACAGGATGGTGCGAGTCCCGAAAAGAAGTCAAGACTCGAGGAGAAGTGCTCCGAAGCCGAGAATAACGGCGACGCGGAGGAGGCCACGGCCTAATATTCTCTCATGTTTATTATTGACAGACAGACCTAATCTATAGATGCAATTTTAACTATCGAGTGTGAAGCCAGGGCAGATCGTCTGTGCATTTTCAGAGAGAAGATGGCGAGCATAAATGAAAAAAAAGAAGAAAAAATCCAGAAAAAACATTTTGACGTTTATTGCATTAAGAACTTTCTGTGTTCAGGATGATTGTGTGTGTCTCCCATAGTATTTCTTGCAATTGTTAATTGGAAATAGCGACACAAATCCGATATTTTTGAAAAAAATATCGCAATTTTACATTTTAATGTAAAGCATAAACAAACGGTGTTCTCTGTACTGGCATCCACGTGCATACATATTATATATTCACTTAGCGTTAGAATTTTAAGATAAGGAAATATACCGATAATGTTAGAAATAATATATTTCTAATTCATCAAAACAAAACGACGGTGCGGTGTCTGGAAAAGGGGTACATTTGTGCAACATAATATTTCCACCTATTTGCTAGTCCTCATTGTTTCCGACGCACGGACACACATTGTATCTTATACCTATAAACGACACATACACACCTTGGACTATACATCGGAGATAGAATACGGATATTTTTCTGCGAATCAAAATACATTCCCGAAAATAGATTGACTTGTAACGTTATGACTGTTCGCCGACGAAAAACTTAAGAGAGCGCCATTTCTACAGCTAACTTTGAACATGCGTGTTTCACAATATTTTATTTATATAAATTAATTCTTGAAAAAAAAAACAAAAGCTTATCTAAATAAATTTTTTTATTTGGATAAATTGATTACGCTAACTTTACTAATACTTAATATGTGTTTATGAGTAAATCTCATTCTTTTTTTTTTCAAGAGTATTGTTCAAATCTATGATATGATTTTGTGTCAAACTTGCGACTTTTTAAAAATTGAAAGAAAATATTTCTTTTTATTATAATTGCACATTATACATATATATTTTATATATATATAATTTACCTTACCTCGGTTTTCACATGTACCTATGTATGTATAGAAACGCTGAGTGAAAAAAGATTTGTTTTGAATTTTGCTAATGTATAAAACAAGTATATTAATGGCAGCATTCAATAATTAGAAACTGCAATTGGACACAAAGCCAAAATATTACAATTAAAATTTATTTCGTTTGTAATTAATCCAAATTAATTAATTTGCATGTTATTCAAAACTTTTAAATAATTGTCAGATGTAAGTCATCGTTTCTTTTAGTTTGTAATGCGTTAGCTTCAAAAAGCGCCACTATCTTATATTTCGGTGACAATATGACAATAGTTCTTATAATTTTCAATGTCATTATTTTTGCTTCGTATGTAATAAATATAACTGTCGATCAGTGAGGGTAATAACATGTATGTTTAAGATTAAAAAATGGTAAAATGTGTTCAACAGCTAATACAAATAAAGATGGTTCTCTATATTTCTTCTTAGTTAATGAACTATAGCCTAAGTCAATTCTTAGCCTCCTGAAAAAGTCTGTACTATGCGAACTTTATTTTCCTCTTGGTTTTATTGCAATTTTTATAGGAAAAAATGATAAAAGCTGAATCTCCATTTACGGAAGATCAAATTTGAGTTTAATCTTATTTCTGTTTTTCATGGAATGATGTAAGGCCGTAATTTGTATCCCTAATTATCGTAACATTAAATTTCATGATTCAAGGACTTTATTTCTGTAATTTTTCCAACAAATTTTAATGTTCATGTATATAGAATAGCAGTTACAAGAATTGAATATGGATCTGGTTTAACAAGTGAAATTTTTACATCGATTTTTTGTATTAGCATTGTAAAATATTTCTCACAACCAATATTAGCATATAAGGTTTTTTTAAGCATGCTAAAAGTAGTAAAGATTCAAAGATACAAAATAGAATTTTCTTATAGGTATAATAATATATTGTTAAACGCGCGTAACTCATTCCTATCAAACACTTTAAATATTTATTGTTAATAAAATTATATACATAAATAATTATTACATAAATCTTTACGATTAACATTATAACATGAGAAATATTTTAAGCGAAGAATAGAACTTATATTCAGCAAATAAAATGGTAGTAGTATATGCTATCAGTTTGTCAGCAGAAATTGATCATAATCTGTCATTTCATAATCATTTAAACGGTTACAAAATAACAGCTAGTTTCTGCTCAGTTTCTGTAGTCTACCATTATATTTCTATTAATAGATTTCGTTGTTTACGCGGACAAAATGTAAATTACAGCGAACACACAGTTTGCAAAGCCTTTTTTTTGCAAATTTGGTTCGAAATAATTGCGATTTTCTATTATTATTAATGGCTGTTCTACAATGTGCTTTTTGTTTCCTGTTTCTTGCTGTTTGTCTCTGTTTGTCTCTTGCCTTTTTGATCAAGAAGACAAGAGACAAACAGCAAGAAACAGGAAACAAAAAGTACATTGTAGAACAGCCATAAAAGTCGATAGAACAAAAATTACGAATATATTTCTCGAAATAATTGTGGGCTATAGATCCATATTTTTTCTATTACGTCTAAAAATGTACAAAAATTATATCATAATTATAATGTTTATAATCGGTAAATCATCTTCAATAAATTATATATAACAGTTTTTCTTAAAAAATTAAAACTACGTTTCACTGTAACTGATTGTAAGGTATAACATGTCATATTTTTATTTATTAAATTTTTTGTAACTAAATATGCATAATTCGACTCTATAAAAATATTCTAGCGAGCAGAGGATAAGTAAAAAAATATTATAAAGAAATATTATCTCTTCGAGATGAAAAACTAGGGAAATCAAGACCATTAGGTCTGCACTGTATTGCAGTCGAGTGTAGATCATGTAAAATTTGTGCAGTATCTTACCAAAGTAAGATAAAAGTATCTAAATATATATAATCTATGGTTAAAGCCAGTTAAAGCATGACCAGTACGCTAGTGTTTAGTGACGTTTAGGTTTAGCAAATCAAGAATGTTAAGAATTCATAACATTACATGAATGGAGCTTCAGTTTTTCAAAACTTTTTCGAAGAGAAATGGATTTATGATATAACAACTAGATGTTATGTGAAAAGTGATATATAAGAATTCATCTCGCCTATAAAATGGCTGCTTGGATCAACATAACTTCAAAGTATATGCGTTAAAATATTATAAACATTATTAGCACACGTACTTTGATAGTTAATAGCAATATAAAAGATAATGCCAATAAAGCAAACTTACAAGCGCTCCGAAAATGATCTTATTCTTGTTATTTTCATGCTGTGCTGTTTATATAGCTGAATGTAGCACATTACCTTAGTGACTTCTTAATTTTTTTGTTAAATTAATCTTAAATTATCAGTAACATGTAAATTTATCTGTATTATTGTTTTAACAGACTGGAGCAGGGTTTAAAGATAGTGGCTCGAGTGGATAATAGCAAATTCCGGCTTCTTGTTAACCGCATATGCCAGACCCTACAGTCGAGCATTGACACGAAGGTGTTCAATGAAGAGGAAGAGGAAAAGCTGCTAGTTTCCTTAGATCTGACGAAAGATGAACTAGCTCTTCTGCTGGATACTATTACATCTATCTACACGCAGGCTGCATGTAGCGTTGTCAAACCGTCTGTCATGGAAGCAGTTATAAAAGATAATTTTAAATTAGACGAAGAAAAAATGTCAATCTTTACAAATGCCTGGATGACTTATGGAAAGGGCATTGTAGAGAATCTAAGGCAACAGTCTATTTTTCCTACTCAGGTATTTTAATATAGATAAAAAAATATATTTGACGAATTATACAATATTATGCGCATTGATCATGGGGTGATTGAGAAAGGAATACAATATATTTCTATGTATCAACTGAAAAATATTCTTTTTATATGGTATTTAATATTTATTGTTTGTTACGATAAATATCACTACAAATCTTTGTCTTTGAAATAAGATGTTCATAGAAACTAGTTAGAAAGTAGGAAGGTTTAAGTTTGAATTTTGACTGGAGAAATATTTTTTGTCTGTAAATAATTTCCTTGTAATTTTATCAAATACTCAATACTTAATATCAATAATATTAAAACGTACATCAATTTAATGTGAAATTATATTTCTAGATAGAATTTGGTACAAGAATATTTCAAGACTAAATAACAATCAGCCCATGATTCAAAAGCAAAAAAATAAAATATATAATATTCATAAAAAATTAATATTACACATATTATTCAATGACTAAAAATATCAATCTTTTTTCTGTGTTGTATATATATATATATATCTTGCAATTTATATTTATTAAACTACATTTCTTTTTTATTTGACAAGGTGAAAGATATCAACTGGTGCCTAAATGTGCAATCATCATCCTCTGCAATTTCCAAAGATGCACAACCTGTAGCATTGCTCCAACTAGGTCTGACTGGTGATAAGACATCTACGTTAACAATGGAGTTTGACAAGAAACAATTAACAGAGCTTTATTATAATTTAGAAAAAATCCAAACTCAGCTAGATGCTCTTAAATAACATGATTAATGTAGCTATTTATATACTACGCTTGTATACTATAAGTAATCAATAAGTGTAATTTATTATGTAAAAATATATTTTGCAACATGCTTTTTTACATGTTTGTTAGATTATCACAAGTGCGTGCTACTGTTATTTTATTTTTGTAGTTATTTTCTAACATATTGTATATTTTTTAATAAATTGCAGTAAAAATAATTTTACATTTATTTGCATACATATACAGGCATCTGCTTTTTAAAAACAAATTTAATATTGGTTTTTGTCGCGCAATGAAGATAGATCTTTGGTAAATTAATTCTGTATAATATGAAGCAAAATATAACTTCTAGATAAATATGTATTTTTATTTTCGACAAATGCTTATGAAAATATAATCACATCTTTATGAAAATATAATTATATCTTTATGAAATGAATTTAAAATAATTATTTTTGTCATGTTTCAATCAAGTCTCAATTTCATAACTCATTTCTTATCAGGTCACACTTTATAATTTAATATAATAATATTCCATTTTGTTTTAATTCTATAAATTTTTAATTTTCATTTTTGCTACATTTTTGTTACAAAAACTTTATTCATCTTATTCACTAAAAAAAATTAAGATTTAATACTTGATTGACCTTACTACTTTTCAAAAGCTTGTCAATATCAGAATATTAAGATCAATCTAAGATGCCTATGAGCATCAATGTAATTAAATTGCTTAATTATCAATTGCAATTACATCATTGTATATAAATGAATTTGATAATAATAAATATTTACTTATAAAAAATATACATTGAGAGACCATTATCGATTTATACACGTTTTTGTGGTATTTTTTATGGCTACCAATACTATTGTTTATGATGAAAACGATTGTAAACTACCATGTTTTGCTGGCAATACATGCACGATGAAACAAAGAGAATGTCTGTGCTGGTGTTCTGTCGCAATCCTACCATTCGCTGGCATCACTTCTATAGGAAGAGGTCGATTATGTCTACACTTTACAGTTATGATCGCGCCTTTTCTCTTTGAAGATAATATCAAACTGGTTATAAAATTAATAAAATTCTTTCGTCTATTTATATTTATACTAGTAAATTTGCGTAATGTTCTCTCAACATACGAATTGTTAAAGAATATTATTACAGCCACTTGTGATATTTTTTTATAACAGACATATTGACACAAATTCAAAAAGGAGAGATGTATTATAATAATTTTTTTCCTTTTAAAGAAAAATTTTATAAAAACGTGTTTAATCAATGAATATTAATTGATAATCCTACGCGCTATTTAATATAGCAACTTAAAACATGTAATGACAATATAATAAGGATGAAATAATTTTGAGAGCACTGTGAGCATCATATAATAACATACACTATATATCAAGATGATCATTTAGCATCACGGAAAAGGATAACAATTAGATGCGATAGAAAAGAGCTAGAGTATTGACTTAAATTTACAGAATTTTTTAAGAAAGTATATATATCTGTTTTTGTATAATTATATTTCTTATATGCTAGAGATATACAATAATGTTAAAATTGTAAGAATATACCCTTATTTTAATTATGCATATATATTGTAAAATTATATATTTACACAAATTTATGAAAGTTGCTAAAGTAGTTCTATACATACTATACATACGAAATATTAACTTTTGTTCATAACTCAAGTATTTGTAACTTTTACAAAACGTAGTCTTTTTGCTTCTCTAATTTCGATGTTGATAATTAATATATTATAGTCCACCATTCTCGAAGGTTTTAGGTGGTATTCCGTGAGCCTTCCCCACACGCGGACTTCTGTTAGGCAGGACGCTCTCAAGGCTCGAAGTGTGACTGTTGTCTTCAACAAATTGAAAATTGATCTTTCCTTGATTCTCAGTATGTTTCTCTCTGCATAATCTCCGTTTCCTTTCTTCAGGAGGTAAGGTTTCCAAAATTTCAGGTGTCTTACGGATAAAGATTCGCGCCTTGCACACCACCAACACTACGACTATTATCATCAGGAACAAGACCACGGCCGTTAGAGTCCCCACAATCCATCCTAGTTTCTCATCTGCACGCAATACAAAAAGTTATCTCTTGTGTGTTGCCAGAAGGATATGTAAGATATGTTAAAAATGAAAAACTAATAAACTATAAAATTTTAAAAGAGAGGTTAGAAATGAGAATAATGAGATTTCTAATGAAATGTGTGTAATGCAAAGACCTGTTAAAGTGTTCAACAGAACGAGTGTCGCATTTCCTATCTCAATATCGGCATTATCATTGTTGATTGTAAATCTGCAAGTCCATTGTCCTAGATCAGTTTGATCCGGTTTGAAGATCAGCTTGCATACACCTGTAGTGTAATCCATTTGCAAGCTGTGCCTGCATTACGGCGTAAGAAAAATGTGTTACAATGGATGCATAATAAGAAAGACAATATAATATGTATTAGGTACCGCGGAAAGTTCGTGTCGTTTTCTCAAGAGATATATTTATAGGGGGAAAAAAGGCACGAAACTTTCCGCCGTATCTAAAATATTGCAAAAAATGTTACCTCGTTTTTTTTGCAAGCTGCCTGCTGGAGTTTTGATATACGTGAACATTTGGAGCGTGAATCCAGTGGCATTTAGTCTCCGATGACACAGATCCGACTCTACACGCAAGAGTGACCATTTTGTGAGGTGCGGCCCAAACTGCGATAGTGACGGGCTCTAAAAAAACGATCGATATTTCTTGAATTGATCTTTCTTTTAATCCTTACAGCCTCAAGGATTTATCAAAATCCACAGTTTATCAAAAATATTTATCAAAACATATTACATATTACATATTGTTAAATTTAATGTTTTATCTTGCTTATCGTTATACAATAAACTCTCGAATATTGTAAGTGCCAAAAATATAAAAATATTTATGATTACATTTTTTTTACTGAACAAGTTTTTTCTCTAAGACTTCCGAATTTTTAAAAATCGCTTTATTGTTGAAGCGGCAAATTTGCTTTTAACATGAATTTTTCTTGAGACCATCAGGAAAGCAGTTTCTAAAATTTTTCCCACTCACCAAAAACCGCTAAATCTCCGGTGCAGATTATCCATTTTGATCACCAACCACCAAACGTTTGTGCATCGATGACTGTCGTGGCTTGATAGATGTTTGAATCGTTAGATCGTGCAACGCTGATTTCGCGTGCATTGATGACATTAGAAAAATCCCAAAAGAAATATTTCAAGCGCTATACTTATCAGACAATATTCATACATTTTAATGTTAGACGTAAATGTCACAAGTAGACTGTGAAATAAAAATTATATAATATTAAAAATATTGTTTTCTATATTAAAATATCAAGTTATTATAAGGACGATGGTTTATATGAAATATTAGATATATCTATAATATACTTATGTGTGTATAGTTTTGTATTACTACCGCGTTGCTTGAAATCGATAGACATTTTACTAAATGTAATAATAATATAACTTCTTCGTAAATGTCATACTTCTCTAAAAAATTAGCGCCTGCAATATTTTTCCGTGGATATATTTGATTAATTATCGCTATTTGTGTTGTGCATCAATTTGAAATTGTGGCAGCTGCCTTAAACTCGAAAAGAGCTCCTTCAGGTTCAGCTATAATGTAGTTAGTAACGGGATGATGGAAATGAGAAGGTCGCTGTGACATTTTCACATTACTATTTATTTAGACGAGAAAGAAAAAAAAAACAGTTTACAGCAACACTCAGAGACTCAAAACGCGCTCGAAGACCTCGCGAATACCTCGCGGTGCTTAACGATACTTAATGGCACATGAAGATTCATACGCTCTGCGAGTGAATCGCTGCTCAGATTTGATCGCGTGCATATTTTGTCACCGTAATTATTTGTAAAGCACAGTATTAACGTAAAATATAATATCTACATTCGTGACTGAACAGATAATTAAATTGCCTCTGTAATTATGCCAATTTAAATTGAATTTGTTTAAAACTCCTCAAAGTAAAGTTTATTAAAGTTCAAGAAATTTAATTAGGTACTGGAGACCTAAAACGACATGATGATGCCTTTGCACTATTGATCAACGAGCTGAGCGAATGTTACTCGTCGCGAACATGAATTTTCTGAACGCTAAAACCTTAACGCTAAAAATTGCCTACTTAGTATTAAATACACTAGTGGCTAAAATCATAAGTCATAATCATGAATCGTATATATAACGGACATATATCAAAAGCGACCACAAGTTAAACAGTAAACATGATGAAAGATAGAAGCGCGATATTAACTTAAGGATGATGACTTTCTATAATAAATAATGTGAAATGTGGGACGGGAGACGCAGTCAGTGATGCTTGTGTATACATTTATCTATCGTTGGTTAATACTCTCATTTAGATAATTTTTTATTAATTTGTAACTTATTTATTGGTTCTATTATATTTTTGTATATACAAAATATATGCATTTCATAAAGAGCACATTGAGTTTCTAAATCATCATTCAATTATTTGAAAATAGACTAAGAAAGTAATATAAGCAATTATTATTGCAATATTATTAAAATCAGGAAAAATTATCTAATTAATTTTAATTAAAGTCATTAGACGAAAAATTAGTTACTTGATCTTTTTTTCTGTAATCTGTAAATTCGTAGACAACATAATGCAGGATACTATGTGAGAAACTTTTTGTATAAAATATTTTCTCTTATATATAATATTTTTAATTTATGTACATATATCGATGTTAAGATAATCGATTTCGCGCTTTATTTAACTAGAATCTTTGTTAACTAAATGCAAAATCTCATTTAAACGCAGTCTCGCTGTTAAAAATATAAATAGGAAATTGTGAATGATATTGCTAATAATAAATATTTTTAACAAAGAAAATAATTCCATGTACTGATCGAAAACGAATGTAAAAAATAAGAAATATAATAAACTTTTCATTTTTTTATTATATCTATTAGTAAACAATAATGCCAATCAGTACCAATAGTAAATAGTAATGCTAATCAGTGCCAAATACAAGGTGAACGCGTGTAAATAAATATATTTACAAATACTTGATGCTTCCCTCTCTTTATTATCTTTCTTTTAGGATGTTTTTATATATGTCACGGTTTGATCACGACTTTCACATGAGCACATTGAGTGTGCGATTCGTTTTTCGTTACTAAACAACTTGCCTAGACGTTTGCCGCGTAAGTTAGAATTATTCTCATCAAATTTGTACATTATTTTTAATTTTTTAAATATTTTCTCCGTTAATTTGGAAATTCGATGAACAAGCGCTTGTACACAATACATATCTTATACAAACATATTTTATACAATACTACATCTCGTCGCAGATTATTCTCTCTTAATGTTGCGTTTTATATGACGACTAGTTAGTATTGAACCTTTTTTGTATTTTAATTCTTTTGCTATATTGAAAAATATCCAAACCGTCTATAATTTGTTATATTATACTAATAAAATTTATTTATACGCATCCACCTTTTGATGAATCGTGTTTGATTTTGATTGACATTATTGTTTACTAATTTATTTCTGTAGTCTTTTTCTTTTTAACTTACATATGTGTTATATTATAATATATGTTATACTGCAATATGTAATTTATTTAATCTTGTTTCATATCTTTATTATAAATAAAAGCTGAAATATTTTTTTATTATATCAGTATTATTTTTTATTTTAAACAGAAAAATTCTTGCAACATGAAACGAAATTTCAATTTTATCTAATAACAAATTTATATGTGCCTAATTTTAAAGTTAAAATGTTTTTTAACACATAGCCATATAATTTATATGCATGAGAAAGAATAATTTGACGATAATAACAGCGTGGATGAAGGCGTGGATAAATTACCGTGGAAAAAATCGCAATTAATTACAACTCGTGTGTGAAGCCTTCTTAATCTCTATAGGGATAACAAGAAAAGCCGACAGGATTGTTAATTTGTGGTTTACCAGGCGGCCCACAACGAACCGATAAATCTCACGGTTTATCGGAGAATCTCGAATGATGAACGGTAATGGGACTACCGTCTTTGATAATGCAAAATGATCTAACACTAGTAAATGCAAATGCACGACGTAATTAAATTAAAAATGGATACCACATGCCGCGATAAAGCAAAGAATGTTGACGTAATGCGTAATCAAATGATAATTTCGTGATCTTTATGTGCATGATATTAAAAAGATGTACTTGGATTATCGCTATAAATATAGTTGAAAAACGCGTTTATATACTTTTCACATTCTGTTTTGCACGATTTAATTTTATTTTAAGATTAAATCGTGTAAACTACATACATATTTTTTGTATATATCGACACTAAATGAATATCTTTACATAACTTCAATAAAAATGCATATTTTTCAACAAATTTCTTTTTTCAGAAAGACGCGAAATGTCGAATAAAAAATCAGATAGCCAATAACTGAATTCTTAGATCCCATTATCAGCTACGTTTGGTTTATTTTCTATTATAAAATCTTATAAAATTAAAAAAAATACGACTTTCCTCACCGAATTGTAAAACACAAAGAAAAAATTCGCAAGAATTCTCGAAAGAAATTTCCGAGAATGCCAGCGATTTTTCAGCAAGTTTAATAAATTTATATGTCTAAGATAAAAAAAATACAAGTATAAAAAATTTTAATGTAAAATTCTTTTCTGAATTACATAGAAAGATTTTGCTGAAGTATCTAAGAATTTAGCTAGATACAGATCTGAAAATAATATTCTTGGACCGTCAAAATAATTGGTGATTCAGAATAACTCTGTGTCCTTGCAAAGACGTGTTTTTAACTGAATTCTGAGACGATTTTTCCTTTACGAAAATTTTATCCGACGCTTACTTTTTGAGTTATTAAAGTTAGCGAATCACAGGCCACATAGGTGCGTTCGGGGAAAAGTTATTAGCGCTATTTATGTCCTTCTATCCTTGTTTTATATCTAATAAACAACGAAATAGAATGACAGAAGTAGCTAATAGTGTCTTCCCAAATGTTCCATCCGTCTTCATCGCGACGGCGTTCTGCTACAAGTCTGTACCATACATGGCTTAACACTTTCTGATTTACTCACGCACTTGATCGATACCAAAGTCAATATCACAAGAATGATTTACAAAGAACGATTTACGAACGATATATTCTGTCGGTTTATTATTATTAATTAGTACCGCTTAATTATTCAACTCGAAATCACTTGGAATAAGAACCGCGTACACAACTCGATGTAACCCTACGCGAGGACTGAGCTTGATGACAACAATCAAGCAAATTATACAAATAACATTTACTCACGCATTTGATCGGTACTACAAGAATGATTAACAAATGATATATATATATATATTCTATCGGTTTATTGTTATTAATTAATACCGGTTAATTATTCAACTCGAAATCACTTGGAATAAGAAACGAGTTACATACACAACCAGACGTGACCCTGAGCGAAGACTGATAATAATTATATCCTTAGACAGCCGATCGCAACGAGTGATTGCTCGTGTCAGACGGTCGGTACGCCGCCCCTACTTACTTTCTATACGTGGCCTATGATTCGCTAGCTTTATCCTTTAATAACTCAAAAAGTAAGCATCAGATAAAGGAGGAGTCTCCATAAGGGCCGATTTCGGCATTCTCCAGATTTTGTTCAAACACAAAATACAAAATCTATTCC